GGTTGTCTTTTTTTTTTTTAAAGTACAACTAAATGCAGCTCCGCCACAAACCGTTTGGAACTAAAATAAAATCAATTTTTCAACGTAAAGTACGTTATCGCCTCTGGGAAAAGTATTCCCAAAGGCTGCCACATTCTAACCAATTTCCCTTCTAAGCTTTTTTTAAAAATTTGAAAAAAAAAAGAGTCCTACAAAGTTGGCTAGTACAAACAAGAAACCCCACCCTGTAAAAAAAAAATCGCTTCCTGAAGATTAAGGCGCCAGTGGGTTAAGACGCGGAAGCTAGTTCCCTGCCACCCACGGAGGGGGGGGGGGAAGAGAGGAAAAAAGGGGGAGAGAATCAATAGCTCAAAACCGAAGTGAACTCCTTCATTAAACCATCCATTTCCCGCGTCGTGTTCCCCCCCCCACCCCGCGGCCTCCCCCGAGAGACAAGAGACTGACTTCGGAAGGTTCTTCCTCCATGCTCCACGGAGTCAATTAGCCTGTTACAAGTCTCCCCCCCACCCCCCCGTCCCCGGGGTTGGCTCGTCACCCACACAGCGGGCGCGGGGGCCTTCGGGGCCTGCGCCCTTGGCGGCGGGGTCCAGGCCTCCGCCCGCCGGGCCGGCCGTCGCTCGCACCCAACTCCCTCGCCTGAGGGATTCCGTTTTCCCGGAAAGCCTTCCCGAGGCCCCGAAGGCCGCACGCTCCGCGCCGTAGGCCCACACACCCGCCGCCCCGGCCCGGCCTTGTTCCACCCGCACCCTCCGCGGAGCCTCGACCTCAAACCCACAAAGGATATCAACACCACGGCTTCAGCTGCTTCTTCTTCTTGCGACCCATAGCTGCGCTCTACCGACGAAGTAAAGGGAAGCGGGGAGGGGAGAGGACGGGGGTGGGGGGGAGAGGAGAGAAAAGAGTAAATGCAGGAAAAACAAGGCGAAAAAAATCGCCTGCTTTCCCGAGCCAACGGCCACCACCGCGTCCCACACGAAGCCGACACAAAATGGCCGACACCGTCGTTCGTTCTCCGCCTCCCGTCAGGCGCTGCGGCGGCGGAGGCGGGGCCAGGCCCGGGTGTGTGTCACGTGACGCGGGCCCCGGCTCTCTTCAGGGCCTGTGTCCAAACCTTTGGCTTCCCCTCCCTGCCTGCTTCCGGTGGCTGAAGCCTAGGGAGTTGTTTTGTCAGGGAGTTGGCATCCGGTGCTAGCGAATTGCAGAAGAAAGGGGGGGGGGAGCAAAATGAAAGGATTGCCAGTATAATTAAAGAGAGGTTCGGCGCCCAATTTTTAAACTTCGTGTCAGTTACCGGATAAACCCGTTGTGTGGTATGGGTGTCTGGGCCTACCACGTGCTAAGGCAAAAGAAGTGAGACTGGGCCAAGCGATCGACCCGCCATACAGACAGGCAGGCGAGTAAACAAGGCTGAGGGGTTCACTGCGTCATCGCCAGGGGGGAAGTGAAGGGGACTGGAAAACCCCAGAGGAAGGCCTTAAAACAGCTTTGTTGATTGTGGAGATGTCCTGAGGGGCTCCTGAGCATGCTAGGTGGGGAGTGCAGTCAGTGCCTGTCCCAGCTCTGAATTATTGCCCCCCAGAGTTAAGAAACCACCCTGGGCAACGCAGCCAGGTCCTGTCTCAAAAGTGTTAAGTCTTGAGCCAGGGGTTGATGGCTCACGCCTGTAATCCTTAGCTACTCGAGGCTGAGATCTGAGGATCGCAGTTCGAAGCCAGGCCCGGCAGGAAAGTCCGTGAGACTCTTATAAACTACTCAGAAAAAGCAGAGATGACGCTGTGGCTCAAGTGGTAGAGTGCTAGCCTTGAGCACAAAGAGTCTCAGGGACGGTGCCAAGGTCCTGAGTTCAAGCCCCAGGACTGGCAAAAAAAATATTCAAGTCTTTGTGGCTAGGAAGACAAAAAAAAAAAAAAAAGCACTGTAAGGCTGTAACTCATAGTGAAGGTACTGGGGGCAAGAACTATTCCTGGAGAGGCTTCCCTAGAAGCAAGTCCTGGAAATCCCTAGAACATTCTGAGATTGATGAATTGCAAAATTGGTGAATTCTGTTTCCTTGTAAGAAAAGCAGGTTTCTGTTTCCTCTGAGTTTTCTAAGAAGCTAGAGAAAAGTTTTAAGATGGAGACTAAAGTATTTTGTTTGTTTTTTCCAGAGCTGAGGCTGAGGACCAAACTCAGGGCCTTGGGTTTGCCAGGCAGGCGCTCTTCTGCTGAGCTAAACCCCCAGCCCCAAGAAGTGGTTTGTAGAGCTGGGCACCAGTGGCTCATGCCTATAATCCTAGCAGCTGAGGAGACTGAAATCTGAGGATTGCAGTTCGATGCCAGCCCAGTGAAGAAAGTTCATGAAATTATTTTTTTTTTTGGTTGGTTGTTGGGCCTGAACTCTGGGCCTGGGCGCTGTCCCTCAGCTCTTCAGCTCAAGACTATCGCTCTACCACTTGAGCCACAGCACCACTTATGTTTTTTTTCTGCTTATGTGGTGCTGACGAATTGAACCCAGGGCCTCATGCATGCAAGGGAAGTACTCTACCACTGAGCCACCTTTCCAGCCCTTTTTTAAACTTTTTTATTGTTAATATGAAGGTGATGTTTAAAGGAGTTACAGTAACGTAAGTCAGGTAAAGAGAACATTTCTTTTTGAACAATGTCACCCCTTCCCTCACTCTTCCAGCTTTCCGGATGAGGCCCTTATCTCCAATAAACCATCAAAAATCAGAAATAGAGCTGTGTCTCACATTGTAGAGTCCTAGACTTGAGGGAAAAAGCAAAGGGACCGTGCCCAAGCCCTGAATTCAAACCCTAGTACTGGCATGTGCATGTGGTCACCCACATACACAGTGACTTAGAGTCCATTCCTAACTTCCATCCGGCTGGGCTTAGAACCATTTGTATTGTAGTAATAGCTAGTAATATGAACTATATATTTAAGGTGGAAAATAGACCAGATGTGGTGACATGCTTGTAATCCCAGGTACTCAGGGGACACCAGGAGGATCAAGGATCTGACTCCACCTAGACAAAAAGTACAAGACATTGCCTAAGAAACAAAGCAAAAAGATTTGGGAGTATGGCTTTAGTAGAAGAGCACAAACAAGAGCAAATCTGAGTTCAAGTTCTTGTAACCTCACCCCTGCCAAAAATTTTTTTTGAAAGGTATTGTCTATGGAACACTAAACTGATGGGTTGGTGTAAAAGCCAACAGGGAATTTCAGCCTATGCAGCTTGTAGACAAAACGATAAGCTGATATGCTAAAACCTGACTATCCAGAGAGCAACAAAGAATAGAGAAGAAGAAAGAACTGTATATCTTCCGTGTCACACAACCTTATAGGACACAGAAATCCATCAATTAGAAAGCCATCTAAATTCTATTACCCAAAGCCAAACAGTGATAATGACGTATGAGACAGTAGAAATGGGCTGAATTACTGTCTTCCCCATGGCATACCTATTCCAGATGTGCTCTTTTTCTGCCATATTTTTTTCTAATAAACTCTTATCTTTTATTTCTTATGTCTTACCTGAATTCCTTTTTGCCAGATACCGCATCTAGCCAAGGTTGTATAGCTGCCCTAAACTTTCTGGTAACATGTTTGGTGTACTAGCAGGGAAGTTAGGGATTAGGATCTCTGTATATCTTAGATTCATCATTAGTTACATTACTCTATTTTAGGCGCTGTTACTGGTGTAGAAGCCTCTGAGGTAGATGCCATTATCAACAGGTTAATATACATGAGATAAAAGGAGTCATAAGAGAGTTAGGATAATTTACCCAAAGTCAAAGAGTAACACTAGATTTAAGTTTGAAAGAGATCCCCTTCTCCCAGGCACTGAGGGCTAATGCCTATAATCCAAGCTATTCTGGAGGCTGAGATCTGAGGATCCAGGTTGAATCTAGCCTAGGTAGAAAAGTTTTCAATGAGATTCTTTTTTTTTTACACTTTAAATTTATTTTTTATTTTAATTTTATTGCCAAGGTGGTGTACAGAGGAGTTACAGTTAAATAAGGTCGTGAGTACATTTCTGGTTTCAATGAGATTCTTATCTCCAATTAATTAATAGCCAGAAGTAGCGTTGTGGCTCTGTGGTAGAGCCCTAGCCTTGAGCACAAAGAGGCTAAGGGACAGCACCCAGGCCCTCAGTTCAAGCCCCACAAATGACAAAAAAAAAAAAGATCTCTTTCCCTGATGTATGTAGACAGTGTAATATGAACAGTGAGTTGGCAAGAACTAAAAGAAATGCAAGTCTAAATAAGGGGGGGTGGAGCACAAATGGGGACATGTGACCTTTACTAGCTACATTTCCAGCCCAAGTATTCTACCACAAATAAAAACAAAGCCAGAGGCACAGATTCATTACTATAATTTTAGGAGATTTGGAGACTGAGATGGAGTAGATGTTGGTTTGAGGGTAGTTGGAGTAAAAGTCTCAGAGTCTCCATCTCCAAAATAACCGCAAATAAGCAGGGCTAGAAGCATGGCTAAAATATTTTTTAAGTACTGGCCAACCAAGTAAGAGGAGCAAGCCAGAAGCCCAGAGCTCAAACCCTAGAGACAACAAAAAAGGAAAAGAAAGTATAAAGGCTGTGTACACATGGAATCCTGGCTACTCATTAGCTGGAGGCTGGAAGGTCTTGAATTCTGGGCCAGCTCAGCAAAGTTAGTCTCAAAACCAAAATACAAACAAAATAGCTAGGGATAAAGGCTCAAGTGGTTGGAGTGCAAGCATGAGGCCCTGAGTTCAAATCCCAGTACCACTAAACAAAGGGGAAGAAAAGAAAGAAAATCCACGTGACTAGCTCGTTCTACCGTCTTTACCACATACCGATCATCAGAGGCAGCAAAGTGAGTTCAGAAGACCTGGCAGAGGAGAGGAACGCACACAGGCCAGCTTCCTCTGCCCTAGGGCCCAGGAAACCAGCGGAACGCAGGTGTGCGAGGGCGGGGATCCGGACGAGACCGCTCACCGAGGACTGTCCGGTGGCGGCGGGGGAGCGGTTTAGCGGAGACACCGGGTCGCTCGGAGGCTGGCGCGATGCTCCCGTCTCTGCAGGAGTCGCTGGACGGGGAGGAGAAGGAACTGGAGAGCAGCGAGGAGGGCTGCCTCGCCGAGGAGCGCAGACCCGAGCCGCCGCCCAGCAGCCACTACGGCCTCTACAGCTGCCGCGGAAGCAGGTGCCGGCGCCCGGCCGTCCCCGTGGGCCCGCCGCCCGGTCCTGCACCCCACCCGGGCGCCGGGGCCTGGCAGCTCCCAGAGGCCACCTTCTCTCCCAGCCAAGGTCTCTGGCCCCGGAGGGCCCTTCCGACCACACTCTTCCTCCCAGCTCCTCCCCTGGAGTTCTAAGATTGGCTCAGTCAAGCCTCTGCATACCCCGGCCCCCAGGTCCCCTCAGCCCCTGCCTTGTGATGTGCTGGGTTCTCGAACACCCCCACAGTTTCAGTTGTGTCCTCTGCCTCCGATCATTCATCTCTTTCCCACATTTCCGCCACTCACTGACACCTGATCCCCTCTGTGCTCGCTGCTTTTTTTTTTCCCCCCTCTTGGCTGGGGAGAGGCCAGAATTATAAGGGGGGCTCTCCTGGCCCTCTGAGGTCTGTTTTTTTGTTATTGTTTTGGTGGTTTGTTGTTTTTTAAGAGTTTCCATGAATCTTCTGGATATTAAGCCTTTCCCCTCCACCCCTTAGGTAATTTGGAGGGAGAAGGGGAGGTCTTGTCTGTACTGCTCTATTTGTTTACCTATCATGAGGGTAAGAGATAGATAACCTATATAATCTCACTTTGCAGTTGAGGGGACTCCTTGCCCTTCCCCAGCTTGCCAAGGCTCCTACACGCTGCGTGATTAAGAACCCATAATTGACAGCACTATTGTTTTTGTGGTTTGCAGATTGGCACAGCAACGAGCAGACAGTGATGATGGCACAAATTCAGAAACTCCCTCTGGTGATGATTTCAGGTAAAGACAGCTTAACCATAACCCAGACCTGTACTTTTATCTTCTTTCTGTGCTTTTCTGGCCTGTAGATGTCAGTGAGTACAGTTTCCCCTGAGCTATCCATAACCCACAGTCTATCCCCTAGGAAGCTTTCTTGATTTCCTCATTGACTCTATTCTTTCAAGTTGAGACAGATCCAAATACAGACAGTCCTGTATGATTTGAGTTTCTCGGTTGGAATTGCAGTAAAATATCCAATATCACACGCTATAAAGATTTCAAGTTAAGTGGAGCACTGATGGCTCACATCTGTAATCCCTCCCAATTACTCAGGAGGATATGGCCTGAGGATCTCAATTTAGAGCTAGCCTGGGCAGACAAAGACTCTTAGCTCCAATTAACTACCAAAAAGCCAAAGTAGAGGTGTAGTTCAAATGGTAGAGTGTTAGCCAGGAGTGCAAGCTCCAGTACCAGCACTTATGAAAGTATATATAAATACATACACATGTGTGTGTGTGTCCTGGGGCTTGAACTTAGGGCTTGGGTGCTGTCCCTCAGCCTCTTTGTAGTCAAGGCTAGCGCTCTACCACTTAAGCCACAGTACTGCTTCCAGCTTTTTCTGTGTAGTTTATTGGAGTTAAGAGTCTCACAGACTTTCCTGCCTGGGCTGGCTTTGAACCACAATCCTCAGATGTTAGCCTTCTGAGTAGCTAGGATTACAGGTATGAGCCACCAGGACCCATTAAAGATATAAATTTGAATTGTTGCCTTTGAATATTTAATCTTATAAATTAGTATATGTTATTTGTGCTAAGGTACATTTTCTTTTTTTTCTTTCTTTCTTTTTTTTTGGGGTGGGGTCTGGTCGTGGGGCCTGAACTCTGGGCCTGAGCGCTGTCCCTCAGCTCTTCAGCTCAAGGCTAGAGCTCTACCACTTGAACCACAGCGCCACATCCGGCTTTTTTCTTTTTGCTTATGTGGTGCTGAGGAATCAAACCCAGGGCCTCATGCATGCTAGGCAAGTGCTCTACCACTGAGCCACCTTCCCAGCCCGCAGGTACATTTTCTTCTATGAATATTTTTTATTTTTTTGCCAGTCCTGGGGCTTTAACTCAGGGCCTGGGTGCTGTCCCTGAGCCTCTTTGTGCTCAAGGCTAGTGCTCCACCAGTTGAGCCACAGCACCACTTCCAGCTTTTTCTGTTTATGTGGTACTGAGGAATCAAATCCAGGACTTTATGCATGCTAGGCAAGCACTCTAACACTAAGCCACATTCCCAGCCCTCCTTTGAATATTCTTTAAACCACAGTCTTCTAGGTCTCAGCCTTCTGAGTTGCTAAGATTATAAGCATGAGCCACCAGCACTTTACTAATTGATTCTGAGACAAGATCTTGCTATGTAGTACAGGCTGGCCAGGAACTTTCTATGGGCCCAAACTCTTGGGCCCAAACTATGGGTCTCAAACTCTTAATCCTCCTATTTCAGCCTTCCAAGTACTGGGATTACATGCATGTGCCACTATGAGTAGAAATGAAATTATTTTTATTTTTTAGTCTCAGTTCTGGGGCTTGAACTCAGGGCCTGGGCACTGTCCCTGAGTTTTTGTGCTCAAGGCTAACACTCTACCACTTAAGCCACAGCTCCACTTCCAGTTTTTTTTTTTTTTGGTAGCTACTTGGAGATAAGAGTGTCACAGACTTTGTTGCCTGGGCTAATTTCAGAATTGAAAACTGTAATCCTCAGATCTCAGCCTCCCGAACAGCTAGGTTTATAGGCATGAGACACTGGCATCTTTAATTTATAAACACTAGGTGTTTATTCATGGATAGGAAGTAGTTGGAAGGTTGAGGAAGGAGACAGGAAATAATGATGTATGAGAATCAGTGAGAAAATGTACCGATAACTAGTAAGTAAATAGGACCTGAGGCTAGATCACTTAGATCATTAACTAAACAGGAGGCTCAGTAACAGGTGTGTAGGGTTTCATCCAACCACATTTTATGTGCATAGGTACTGGTGCAGGGTAAATGGAAAGCTAAACTGGTTTTGCTAAGCAAATGCAGTGAGATAGAAACAGCAAAGCAGTTAAAGGAGATTGTGTGCAGTACTCAGTTTCTGTATGAAGATTATTCCTCAGTGAAGCCAAAAGAAAGCAAAACAAGAGTGAGTGCAAGGGGATGATTATACAATGAAAAATGGCCAGTGCAACTCTAATACTGGAGAGAATAAGGTGGAAAGATAGGAATATCTTTTGGTAAGGTAGGTCATACTTGGTAAAATATATTACTAGAGGTACTTAATTTTTTCCATTCTGAGTATGGGATCCAGGGTCTTGAGAATGCTAGGCAAGCCCTCTACCACTGAGCTGTGTCCCCAACTGAGCTAATGCAAATGAGTTTTGTTTTTTTTTTTGGTCTGGTGGGGGTCTGAACTCTGGGCCTGGGCACTGTCCCTCAGCTCTTCAGCTCAAGGCTAGCACTCTACCACTTGAGCCACAGTGCCACTTCCGGCTTTTTTCTTTTTGCTTATGTGGTGCTGAGGAATTGAACCCAGGGCCTCATGCATGCAGGGCAAGTGCTCTACCACTGAGCCACCTTCCCAGCCCCATGAGTTTTTTTTTTTTAACTTACAGCTTAGGATGTTTTAGTCCATGGTTCCTGTTGCCTTTAGGCCCGTGGCCACATATCTCATGGCAGGAGCATGTGGCAAGGGAGCCCAATTATCTTCCGGTAGCTAGGAAGTGAAAGAGGAAGGAGGAAACCAGGGTCCCAATATCATATCTAGTACCTCCAATGACTTAACTTCCTCCCAAAAGGCCCCACCTCCTATAGAACTCACCAACTGACAATAACACCATGGGTTAGGGTCAAAAGTCAAAGCTTTCAGCCAGGTGCTGGTGGCTTACACCAGTAATTCTAGCTACTCAGGAGGATGAGATCTGAGATTGAGGTTGGAAGTCAGCCCAGACAGGAAAGTTTATGAGACTCTGAACTCCAATTACCCATCAGAAAACTAAAAGTAGAGCTGTGGCTGAAAGTGGTAGAGTGCTAGCCTTGAGCAAAAGAGTTCAAGGATGGTACACAGGCCCTGAGTTCAAGCCCTACAACTAACACCCCGGCCTGCCCTCCCCCACCCCCCCAAAAAAAACTTTCAATACATGGGCCTTTAAAGAATATTGTACACCCAAATTATAGCACTCACCAACAGGCAGCCATCTTTCTTAAGTCCTTAAGGGAAATGCTGCCATTGATGATACCATTCTGTCTAATTTACGGGTGTGAATGCACTTATCCACTGGTAAAGAATGTGTGTCTTTCATTGTCAAGCCTCTCCTTGGTGGATACTAATCTGCCATCTGAAGTGGAGCCAGAGCTACGCAGTTTCATTGCTAAGCGTCTTTCGAAAGGAGCAGTCTTTGAAGGGCTGGGTAATGTTGCATCCGTGGAGCTGAGGTAAGTGTTAAATGTGCTGTGTCTTGAGTTTTTGTTTCTGAGCTAAACATGAGAACTGACAAGAAACTCTAAAAGATCTAGGCCTGCAGAGTTCATTTTTGTTTTTCAGCAGCTGAAGCACCAGGCTTCACACAGAAACATTTGTGGTAAAGCATGGCAAATGAATGGTAAAGACACCGGCACGTGGGTTAATTTTGTTCTTAGGAGAAAAGAGTTAAGGGTTCAGTGGTATAGCACTTGCCTAGCATAGCAAGGGCCTGAGAGTTTGATCCCCAGCACTAGACTTTTATCCCCCTGCCCCCTGAAAAAAAAAAGTAATTATCTAAACTGAAATCATAGAGTTTATATAGTTAGAAAAGTGCTTTCATAAGCTTTGATGAAATTCTTATAACGGTGAGATAGACTGATTTTCTTATTTCCATTTTAAAATGAGGAAATCAACTCAAATAAGTTAAATGGAGGCTGGAAATGTGGCTTAGTGGTAGAATGCTTGCCTAGCATGCATGAAGCCCTGGGTTTGATTTCTCAGTACTATATAAACGGAAAAAGCTGGTAGAGGTGCTATGGTTCAAGTGGTAGAGCGCTAGCCTTGAGCAAAAGAAGTTCAGGGACAGCACCCAGGCCCTGAGTTCAAGCCCCAGGACTGGCCAAAAAGAAAAAGAAAAAAATTAAATGGGATGCCCAAGGTCAAAGGGCTTGTTACTTTTTTTTTTTTGGTCAGTCATGGGGCTTGAACCCTGGGTACTGTCCCTGAGCTCTTGAGCTCAAGGCTAGTGTTCTACCACTTTGAGCCACAGCACCACTTCCGGTTTTCTGAAGATTAATTGGGTAAGAGTCTCATGGATTTTCCTCTCCGAGCTGACTTTGAGCCACGATCCTCAGATCTCAGCTAGGGACATGAGCCACCAGTCCCTAGCATAGGACTTGTTACCTTGATGATGTTCAGGCTTAAACATGGGTATCATTAGTTCAATTCCACCCATCTTCCTGTTACACTCCTATTGTAGTGTACTTCAGACCATGAAGTTGAAGTTGGCATTAAGGTCTGAAGATTATTAGGCTGTGGCATGATGATAAGGTCACAGAATAAGCCTGGCACATCTCCCTGCAGCATCCATGATTTATGAGGGTTTAGGAAGAAGGGAAAACATGTACTTACTCTGGTCAGGAGGGAAACTTGCATCTTTTCACATAAGCAGGACAATTCAAAAGTTCACCTCTAGCCGGGCGCTGGTGGCTCAAGCCTGTAATCCTAGCTACTCAGGAGGCTGAGATCTGAGGATCGAGGTTCAAAGCCAGCCCGGGCAGGAGAGACCATGAGACTCCTAATCTCCAATAAACCACCAGAAAACCGGAAGTGGCGCTGTAGCTCAAGTGGTAGAGCGCTCGCCTTGAGCTGAAGAGCTGAGGGACAGCGCCCAGGCCCAGAGTTCAAGCCCCACGACCGACCAAAAAAAAAAAAAAAGTTCACCTCTGTTAGAGGCTGCTTTAATTACCACCCCTCCCCCCCAGGGTGTGTCTCCATGTCTCTTTGCTGTGAGGAGAAAGTTGATAGGAAGTCTGAGAAGATATTAAGTAGTTTATTCCAAAGTTTTGCCAGATCAAGACTACCAGGGCCCAGAGCAGAGCCCAATGAAATGCTTTAGTGCTCAAAACATCTCAGTTTACTTTCACTTTACTGTTTCTTTTCTAGAAGTCCGGGTTACCGAGTTGGTTGTTATTACTGCCTTTTCCAACAAGAAAAATTGCTTCCTGAAACAGCAACAATGGGCTCTGAACATAACCCTTCAGAATATGTGGTCTGTTTTTTAGGAGGGTCTGAAAAGGGCCTCGAGCTATATCCTTTCATTGGTCTTTGAGGGCGTCAGGAGGGAGTATCTCTTAACACTCTCCATATGTGTCTCTACCTTTAAAGGTGTGTTTGAATTTTGTGTCTTCATATGGCATTTGCCGTGGCTGCTTTTAATTTACAGTTTGCATTATTTGGAAGACCCTATATTTCCTGTTAAAGAGATAAAACACTGACTTGATTATTCATCCTTTATTACTTCCTTAAGAACACACGTTCAGGCTTGAATTGGACAAGTACATTCAAGGGCTGAAAATTAACATGAATTGTGAGGTAAGATGACTGACTTAAATTTCATAAGACTGAACTGCTGTTACCTTGCAATAATTATCAAGTCAAATAGATAGCCACAAACTTGGCTAAATTCTAAAAATTTCCCTTGTGGGTTAGCAGACTGGTGCTGGGGTTTTCTTGTGTGTGGTGGTGTTTTTTTTAATGGTACTGCAGTTTGAACTCTACCACTTGATTCATGCCTTTAGCTCAACTTTTTCTTGGTTATTTTGGAGATGGACTCTTGGAATTGTCTCCCAGGCTAGCTTTGAACTGTGGTTCTAAGGTCTTAGTTTCTTGAGTAACTGGAATTGTAGGTGTGAGCCAGTGGCATCCAGGTAGACTGTAGGATTTTTTTGTTTTTGTTGTGTGCCTGTACTGGGGCTTGAACTCAGGGTCTGGGCACAGTTCCTTAGCTTTATCCACTCAAAGCCAGTGCTCTACCACTTGATCCACAGTTCTACTTCTGGCCTTTTGGTGCTTAATTAGAGGTAAGTCTCATAGACTTTCCTGTCAGGGCTGGCTTCACACTGTGATCCTCAGATCTCAGCCTCCTAAGTAGCTAGGATTATAGGTGCAAGCCATCAGCACCCAGCCCAGACTGTATAGTTCTCATGAGTGCTGCAAGTTCCACAGGGCTGCTTTTGATGAATTGACTTTATGAAAAATTCTATGTACTGAGTTCAGTGACATGTCTGGTGAAGAAAAGAATGCCCTTTTTTTTTTGTGGATTGTGGGGCTTGAACTCTGGGCTTGGGCACTGTCCCTGCACTCTTGTTTTTGTTTTTTTTGGTCTGGTCGTGGGGCCTGAACTCTAGGCCTGGGCGCTGTCCCTCAGCTCTTCAGCTCAAGGCTAACACTCTACCACGTGAGCCACAGTGCCACTTCCAGCTTTTTTTTTTCTGCTTATGTGGTGCTGAGGAATCGAACCCAGGGCCTCATGCATGCAAGGCAAGTGCTCTACCACTGAGCCAACTTCCCAGCCCTGTCCCTGCACTCTTCAGCTCAAGGCAAGCACTCTACCACTTGAGCCACAGTGACACTTCCGGTTTTCTAGTGGTTTATTAGAGATAAGAGTCTCACGGACTTTCCTGCCTGGGCTGGCTTTGAACCATGATCCTCAGATCTCAGCCTCCTGAGTAGCTAGGATTACAGGCGTGAGCCACGGGCACCCGGCCCCTTTTCTTATTTATAGGCACATCACATTTGTACTTCGGTTAGAATTAATGGTCCATACAGTTGCTGGCACCAGAAATATGCTGTGCAACATTATAACTGCCCTTGAACTTATCAAAGATTGAAGAAGTGTCCCATTTTTATTCATCAGTCCTTTATGAATTAGATATAGCGATATTGATTAAATTATCCAGACCTTTTAAAAATTGCTTTCACCGTGCACGTTGTTACAAGTTATGACTCTTATAAATTACATGTAGTAATGGTTCTTTTCCCTTGTCACAAACAAGATAATGAAGGAAAGAAAAGGATGAAATCAAGAGTGAGCCAGGGGGACTGAGCAGGTGGCTCAGTGGTAGAGCGCTTGCCTTGCATACACAAGGCCCTGGGTTCCATTCCTCGGCACCAAATAAGCAAAAAGAAAAAAGCCGGAAGTAGTGCTGTGGCTCTGGTGGTAGAGGGCTAGCCTTTAGCTGAAGAGCTGAGGGACAGCGCCCAGGCCCAGAGTTCAGACCCCATGACCGGACCCAAAAAAAAAAAAAGGTGAAGATTACAGTGTGGAGGTGCTACCCTCCCTGATAAGAGGTCGTCTTGTGCGACACTGGTCCCTAGAGCCACACACCCAAAAAAGCCCTTGGGGGAACGTGACAGTTGGACTCAGCCTCAATACTTTTTTTTTGTTCGTTGGTGAGGCTTGAACTCTGGGCTTGGGTGCTGTCCCTTAGCTCTTCAGCTCAAGGTGAATGTTCTACCTCTTGAGCCACAGGGCCACTTCAGTTTTCTGAGTGGTTTATTGGAGATTAGAGTCTCTCAGCCTTTTCTGCTTGGGCTGGCTTTGAACTGTAATCCTCAAATCTCAGCCTCGTGAGTTCAAATCTCAGCCTCCTGAGTAGTTAGAATTACAGGTGTCACACCTGCCTGGCAGCCTCAATACTTTGATGAGTCACTTGTATCCTTCCTTCTTTTCATTTTCAGTACAGATTTTCTGCATTTCTTTGGGGAGTGGCTCAAATGATAGAGGACCTCCCTAACAGGAGACCTTGAGTTCAAACACCAATAACACCAAATTCTCTGCATTTCTTCAATTGTTGTGTAGTAAATAAGCTTGAGTTCTGTGTACTTCAGACACACTGCCAGGTACTGGGGAGGTGAGAGTGAAAGGGAAAGATGTCTGTCCCAATTGATTTTAACACCAAGGCTACAGTTAAGAATATGGTGTCCACTAAGATTTATATGGTCTTAAAGCAAATGACATTCTCTCTTGATGTAGGAAAGTGGTCTGGAGAACCAAGTAAAGTCCTATCTGAACAGCTGGTTTGAAGATGTTGTATGCCCAATTCAAAGGGTGGTTCTTCTCTTTCAGGAGAAACTTACCTTCCTGCTGCATGCTGTAAGTGTTACCCAAACAAAGAGTAGTCTCTTAATGGTGAAGCACTTTGGCAGAGTTTGTATTCATTTTTCTCTGAATATTCATTTAAGTTATGCTTGCTGTCAAGATAGACCACACTGTTTACTCAGATCTTAATAGTAAGTAGAATTGAATGGCAAATGCTAGTGGAGGTTTCCTAATCAGATAAAATGTTTTAAAATAATTACTATTTGAAATAATCTCAGAGCTATATAATTTCCAAAACATTTTGAGAAAACAAACACAAAACACCAAAATGGTCTTATTCTTGAACACAGCTCTGGAGAACTCATAGGCAAAAAGGTAGAGTTTAATCCTAAGTGGCTGCTCCTGGAAAGATGAAAAGTATGTATCAATCATGCTTTATTTTTCTCTTATAGGCTTTGAGTTATACTCCTGTTGAGGTTAAAGAATCAGATGACAAAACAAAGAGGGACATTAACAGGTAATGAAGATTGTGCAGCAACAAGCTTTTCTACAGCTAGCCTGATTAAGTTTTTAACCCTGCAGTGCAGGATGAACTTAATTTCTTCCTCCCATTCTGCAATATGTTTGTGGAAAAGGACTTGCTCTGTGTGGCAGGTTTCTGAGTGTCGCCAGTCTCGAAGGACTCATTCATGAAGGCACCATGACATCATTGTGTATGGCCATGACGGAGGAGCAGCACAAGTCTGTGCTCATAGACTGCAGCGGCTCCCAACCTCAGTTCCACAATGCGGGTGAGTTGACTTCCTGGACCTCTTGTGAGTCTTGTCTTTGTACTTTGAACACATAATACCTACATATCCTCTTGCAGTTTGTTCATGTGCATGGAAATCAAGAGAGGCCTAGGGTCCCACTCTTAGGCATATAAAGAAACACATAGGCTGGACAGTGGTGGCTCACACCTGTACATCCTAGCTAGTCAGGACCATAAGTTCCAAAGATCGAGATTCAATGAAGCCAGTCTGGGCAGGAAAGTCCATGAGACCTTTATCTCTAACCAGAAAAAGGCAGAAGTAGAGTTGTGGCTCAAGTGGTGGAATGTTAGCCTTGAGCAAAAAAAAAAAACCAAGAAAGAGCAAAAGGCCCTGAGTTCAAGCCCCAGTACCATCACAAAAAAAGAAAAAAAAGAAAGTCATGGCTGCATACAAGGAGACAAAAAGAAAAAATGCTCATAAAGGCATTATCTGAAATAAAAAACAAAGAATTGGAAGCAACTTAAATGTTTATCAACAGGAAACTGACAAATTGCTAATTCGTGCAAGGGAGCAGTTACAACTGTGTTAGTATAGCTCTCAAACATATTATCTAGTAGATCAATCATTAAAGAAAAATACATAAAGGCTTTAACATGTGTGAAATAATACTGTTAAAGCTTAACAATACTAAGTTAGGCAGCAGCAGTTTAACAAAATATATGGGAGATGTGACTAAGGACAGACCTATGGGGAATGTGGGCCACTGTGGTATTTTTTCCCTTTTGTGATCGTCCTGGGTCTTAAATTCAGGGTCTGGGCACTGTCCCTTAGTTTTTGTGCTCAAGGCTAGCCCTCTACCATTTGAACCACAGCTTCATTTCGCTTTTTTGGAAGTTGATTCTGATGATAAGAGTCTCACAAACATTCCTGTCCAGGCTGGAACTGCAATCCTCAGATTGCAGTAGCTAGGATTATAGGCATGAGCCAGTGGCACCACTCTTACTCTGGTATTTCTTAGCCATGTGGTAAGGTACACTCTTTTTTTAGACCACAACACAAGTCTTAAGCAGTTGTGTTTTTTAAATACCTTGTGCTTTGTAGGATTTCATTTTCTTTTATTTCTCCAAAATATTTTATAGGAAGCAACCGGTTTTGTGAGGACTGGATGCAAGCTTTTTTAAATGGCACTGAAGGGGGCAACCCTTTTCTCTTCAGACAAGTACTGGAGAACTTTAAGCTAAAGGTAATTAGTTTATTGGCTAATTGGCTGTATGTCAAGGGCCACATACAATTTTAATCTGTACTAGTGATAGAATAACAAATATGCTTTCCAGCTGTTTTATTCATTATTAAATGGGCCATCTCTAAAATATGAATCATAAGAAGGTATTTATCTTCATTTTTCAGTAGCTTCTACATGTAAATAGTTTCATTTCCAATAAATTGGGTTGAATGGTTGTTTATATTTAAGGGACCTCAAGCTTTAAATTTATGTTGTACCTTAGTTACAAAGCACAAGCAAAGGCTGGGAAGGTGGCTAAGTGGTAGAGCGCTTGCCTTGCATGCATGAGGCCCTGGGTTCAATTCCTCAGCACCACATAACCTAAAAGAAAAAAGCCAGAAGTGGTGCTGTGACTCAAGTGGTAGAGCGCTAGCCTTGAGCTGAAGAGCTGAGGGACAGCGCCCAGGCCCAGAGTTCAGGCCCCACGACCAGACCCAAAAAAAACCCCAAAAAAACAAAACACAAGCAAGTAATTCAGGCTGAGACTAGAGTCACACGCTGGACACAGTCCTTACCCTGCCTGGTGTGCTAGAGTTCTCAGACAGAATCTGCTGGTCTTGACTCACTGGTGGGAGTAGACTGTGTCCCCATTAGCGTCTAGATCAGAAACATGCCTCTATGCATCCTAGAGTTTTAGTTAGCAGGCCCCTTTCCTCATTATGCTTAGGGAGCTGTTATCTGGTATTTACTATGGCATACTCAAATCTTTTACAAAAAAATAAAAAATAAATACAGAATTCTAATAGGGATAGGTCCTCACCTTAGCAAAAAAAAAAAAAATTTTTTTTTTGGTGCCAGTCCAGGGCTTGAACTGGGACTGGACATTGTTATGGAACTTTTTTTGCCCAGGGCTAAGCACTCTACTGCTTGAGCCACAGTTCCACTTCAAGTTTTTCGTTGGTTAATCGGAAATAAAGAGTCTCACAGACTGCCCAGGCTGGTTTTGAATCTTGATGCTCCGATCTCAGACTCCTAAGTAGCAAGAATCACAAGACTGAGCCACCTGTGCCCATCTACATTTTTAATTTCAATGAATTTAAGTAAAACTTTTATTCCGCCAAGGCATATTAGCAATAAAAAAAGATGGAAATATTTATTCTTAGTAGTTTATTCTTTTTGTTCTTTAATTTTTTAAATGTATCTTCAAGTAGTTGTACAGAGGGGTTTCAATATGATAGAAATATTTAAAAAGCTAACATCTCACAGCATGTTCTCAACTAGATAGGTTATTTTTTTTTCATTATTTCACTAAACACTTATTTAACCAGGCAATTTGTTTCTAGGCCATACAAGACACAAACAATTTGAAGAGGTTTATACGGCAGGCAGAAATGAACCATTATGCTTTGTTTAAATGTTATATGTTCCTGAAGAACTGTGGGAGTGGAGATGTCCTTTTGAAGATTGTGAAAGTGGAACATGAAGAAATGCCTGAAGCTAAAAGTGTGGTAGCTGTCCTTGAAGAATTCATGAAAGAATCTCTTCCCCGAAGTTTTTGATCATGTTTTGAAATAACTCTTCATGAAGTTGTATATTTGTTTGAATCATCAGTTGTCATTGTTCATAGAGTTCCTATTTAAGGTGATCTTAAACCTACCAAATTCTTTCTTTTTACACTTTTGCCATTTAACTTAATTAAACATAACAATCTGAGGAATATCTTCACTGAATTGTAGATAGGTCTGTGTTAGAGTTGTAGAATTTTAAGTACATTGCTGGACCTATTCTAAACTTCAGGAATTTATTGCCTGAGATTATACAGCAAATGATCCATTCCAGAAAAATCACAGTACTTGTCTCTTAACAGATTGAATCATCTTAAAAAATGTAACCCCAGCCCAGCACTGGTGGCTCACGCCTGTAATCTTAGCTACTCAGGAGGCTGAGATCTGAGGATCGTGGTTTAAAACCAGCCTGGGCAGGAAAGACTGTGAGACTCCTATCTCCAATAAACCACCAGAAAACCGGAAGTGGCGCTGTAGCTCAAGTGGTCGTTCGCCTTGAGCTGAAGAGCTGAGGGACAGCACCCAGGCCCAGAGTTCAAGCCCCATGACCGACCCAAAAAAAAAAAATGTAACCCCAACCAGGGGATGTGGCATATAACTGTAATCCCAACACTCTGGACCTAGAAGCAAGTCAGTCACAAGTTGCAGGCAGTCAGGCTAGCCTGAGATCTACAGTGAGATCTTGCCTCCAAACATAAGTAATCATAGTCAGGACAGATTATCACAGTGACACTATTTCAAAGAGTAATTTATGCATCCTGAGTGTGCTTGATACCTTTTTTTTTTGTCTGATTGATACTTGGCATGGATGATGAAGCTAGCTTTTAAGTCAATATGCAAATAAATCATGAGTATGTAAGAAATTAAATGAGCTTTAAAAATAGATGCACTAGCTTCAAGATAAAACATTATGCGTAATGGAAAGCTACTGCAGAATTGGCCCCCATCACCACTTTATTCATTTGTTTACAGGTATTTGTTGACAACAGGTTTTTGTTTGTTTTTTGTTGTTGGAGGTACTGGGGTTTGAACTTGAGAGCCTTGAGCTTGGATTGTTATTTTTCGAATATGGTCTCACACTCTACTCAGGCAGGCTTGGATGGTGACTCCTACTTATGCCGTTTGCATAGCTGGGAATAGAGGTATGAGCAACTCCACCTTTTTTGGGGGGGGGATGGGGGAGGGCGGGGAAGGGTCCCAGAACTAGGGCTTAAACTCATGCTCTCACTCAGTTGTTTGTATATGTGTACGTGCATGCATTTGTGTGCATGTACACCAGTTCTGGGGCGTGAACTCAGGGCCTGGGTACTGTTCTAAGCTTCTTTTGCTCAAGGCTAATGGTCTACTATTTGAGCCAGAGTTCTGGTTTTGGGGAGGGTAGTTGAGAGTTAATAGTCTCACAGACTTTACTGCTCAGGCAGTCTTTGAACAGCAGTCCTTAGATCTCAACTTCCTGACTAGCTAGGAAGACAGGCATGAGCCACCAGTGCTTAGCAACCTCTCTGAGAAATGAAAATGCTGAGATTTTTAAAGTGTTTAGGAAAGAAACAATACAAACACATTTCATAAGCAAACTATAACAAGGAATTCCAGTCTTAGCAGAGTTAGTGATTTTAGGTTTTTTTGTACTTTTGTTATCAGCCTGTTTTACTCTGAATCAACTGAAAGTGCCCTCGTCTAATAATTTATAATTCTCAACTGTAGCCACATACTCTACATAGCTCTTTAATAAATTCATTTGATAATGATTTTTGTTTAGAAGATCAGAAGTCCTGTGTTCTTATTGCCTTTGGAACTCTCCAAGGAACACAGACTCTAAAACAGAAATCCTCTAACTGCTCTAAGTTTTTAACTTCCCAAATGACTGCTTTCTCCTTTATGTAAGTCAGTCTAGAGACATGATTCACCAGCCTTTTCCTTTAACGAGAAATACTATTCAGGATCTTTGTGAATGCTTTCATATGGTTTTAAAGTTTAATAACTTGGATTATAGGCAGTGTAGAAAAAAAATCTAAACATCTTTTATAGCATTCAGGATGACTATGAGAAATTAGCCATTTTATGACACTATTCTTGAATCTAGCCTTTTTCTAATGCACTTAATTGCCTACTTGTAATTTTTGTTTGTTTTAAAATGAGCAACATTAGGACATCAACATTTTGAGTCTGGAAAACATATTTTTCACTTTCAGATGTATATGCCAATGATCCAACGATCTATGTTGTAATGGTATTTTAAAAGCAAATGTAGCTGGGCATAGTGGCTCTTGCCTGTAATCCTACTCAAGAGGCTGAAGTCTGAGGATCACCATTGAAAGTCAGCCTGGGCAGGAAAGTATGAGACATTTATCTCCAGTTAACCATGAGAAAACTGGAAGTGGAGCTGTGGCTCAAAGCAGTAGAACTCTAGTCTTGAGCAAAAGAGCTCATGGATAGTGCCCAGGCCCTGAGTTCAAGCCCCACAATTGACAAAAGTAATCATAAAGTAAATAAATGTATTATCTATGTTAAATCATTTGTAGATATAGGCAAGGTATAATTATAGATTCTCTGTGTGTATATATGTATATTTTTAATGTAGTCTCACTACATTAGAATAGGCTTTTTTTTTACATCTATGACAAAGTATCACTGTTCTAGAGAAGAAAAATGTGATAGAACTGAATATCTTGTGGGTCATGAGACAAGTAAGAACTCATGACCAGAAGCATATACGATATTCAAATTTTAGTAAGCTAATGCGTTTTTAGTTTTAAGTCTTTGTTCAGACATTCAATAATGTTTTATGTGCATGCAATAAACACATAGGAAAATGTATATTTGTCATGTATTCATGATTTGCTCATCTGCATATTTGTAATAATAAAGCATAGCTTCTAATCAAGGCAAATAATTTTTACCTAATTTCACTTTCTTTTTTTGGTCATGGGGTTTGAACTCTGGGCCTGGGTGCATGAGACCAGCAATCTACTGCTGAGCTGCCTTCCCAGCCCCATCCTCTCATTATTAACCTTACCAAATGTTTGTCCTCCACCTCAGGATCACTTTGCCAGATGCTTTGAAAGTCTGAAGGCTTTTCAGAAGATTCAGTTACTAGGGGCTGGGAAGGTAGCTCAGTGGTAGAGTGCTTCCCTTATATGCATGAGGCCCTAGGTTCAATTCCGCGGCACCACATAAGCAGAAAAAAGCCGGAAGTGGCACTGTGGCTCAAGTGATAGAACACTAGCCTTGAGCTGAGGAGTTGAGGGACAGTGCCCAGGCCCAGAGTTCTAGCCCATGACTGACAAAAAAATAAATAAATAAATAAATTCAGTTTTTAGGACATTTTCCTTGCCATGTCTTCTCAATCGAAGGAAACCCCGTGTCTTCAATGAGTCTTACCACTTGGAGGTCTGAGAAGGCAGCTCAGTTCTCCAACTGCCTCACAGACTGTCGACTTGGCATAAATACCTAGATTCTGGAAACCAGGATGAATTGGAAGTAGGAATGGGTTGACATCTGTTGAGTTTTTGTAAACTACTTCTGGCAGGACTCACAGTGAAGAGTCTAAGTGAACTCTGAGCAACTGTCCCAAAGTTCGTTATTGTTATAGGATGACCCTAAGCCTGATGCCATGAGACTGGCTCTTTTAACAAATACCATGACAATGTCTACATGCTCAGTGTCCTTGAGGTTTTGTGTAAATATCTGTGGGCCAAGATTTTTTTTGGGGGGGTCCAGTCGTGGGGCCTGAACTCTGGGCTTGGGTGCTGTCCCCCAGCTCTTCAGCTCAAGGCTAGAGCTCTACCACTTGAGCCACAGCACCACTTCTGGCTTTTTTCTTTTTGCTTATGTGGTGCTGAGGAATCGAACATGCAAGGCAAGCGCTCTACCACTGAGCCACCTTCCCAGCCCCTGGGCCAAGATTTTTTTTTTTTTTGTCGGTCATGGGGCTTGAACTCTGGGCCTGGGCGCTGTCCCTCAGCTCTTCAGCTCAAGGCGAGCGCTCTACCACTTGAGCTACAGCGCCACTTCCGGTTTTCTGGTGGTTTATTGGAGATAGGAGTCTCACAGTCTTTCCTGCCCAGGCTGGCTTTGAACCACGATTCTCAGATCTCAGCCTCCTGAGTAGCTAGGATTACAGGCGTGAGCCACCGGCGCCCGCTTGGACCAAGGTATTTTTATGTGAATAATTTTGTGTTTTTTTACTGGGATGAGCAATCATACTGCACAAAAGAATTCAGTGAGTCAGGGCAGGTGAAGGACCACCAAATCAGGAAGACTGGTGCCACGCACTAATGCCTCCTCTACTTCACAGATCACTCTCCCCCCCCCCCCCCCCCCCCCCCCTGACCCCAGGTGTAGAGGAAACAGGCTCCCACTTCAGCCCTTCAGGACACTTTCTAAAGAACCAGTGACAAACACACACACACACACACACACAAACAACCTTTAATGGAATTTGTGCTCAAATAATATATTACAACAAAAATATACAGAATGTACACAATACAAAAATATTTAGAAACCAACATTGCAGCTTGTGTTTTGTTCTTCCCACTTAACAAGGTCCTCAGAGGGGCAGTTCACAATGGGGCACTGTTTTTAAGGCAGAGGAGAATGGGTGCTTAGTGCTCAACAGCCAGCCCTGAGAGCAACATGAATGATGCAGAAAGAGCTCCCACTGTACCAGACAATCTACATTATCTACAAACCGAATTGGATGCCTGAGGAACGATCTGGGTTTAGTGAGCAATGGCTTCCCTAATCCTTTGGGCAAGAATGGTTTGCATGGAAATTGAGAGTCTCATTAGCTGGAAAAAGAGCCTCATTTGGGAGTTTTTCCTAATTACAAAAGGAATGATAGATGGTGCTGTTAAAGTGAAATTTCTCCTTTGAAGGCCTGTTTTTTTCCCTTCTCCATTTTCTGTGGTTTCTCTCCTGTTTAAAGACTCTAAGGCTGTCCTGTGGATAAAAGGCCAACCTACCTCCACCGGTCTGAACATCTGCACTGCTTCACATCCCAACATCCTGGCTGGCAGCCACATTTGAGAAAGGAGTAGGGTATGTGAACAAAGCTAGAGGCCTAGTGTTCAAGTGCTTCTAGAAATATGGGGATGCAGAAGCAAGGAAACCTACTGAGGAAAAGGCCAGCCACCAAAAAGCAGACCTTTCTGTTAAGTGACTTTATTGTCCCTATTATGGCCCTGCTTGGGAGGGATGGTCGGGAGAGGGTGGTAGAGATGGGGCCTGAGATGTACAGAGGACTTGCTTCCAGCATCCCAGACTGGGAGAAGAGACTTAACAGGGTAGAAGGTGAAATCCTAACCAAGGCTGTCCTTCTAAGTACCAAGCTTGCAGTAGAAAGAAGAACTTGGCCCTGTCCTGAGGAATTGTGGAGTTTCTTAGTTCAAAGCCTGCTCAGCTTGTTCCAGACCACACAAGATAAAAACATGGGTGGTAGTCTGCTGACTCCACCCACATCCCAGCAGCCCCTGCTGCCAAAATAGAAGTCTAGAGGGAAATTCCCTGCAGGGCACTAGCGGCTTCCCTCCACCCTAGAAAGTAACAGCACTCTCTGGCTTAGCCAAGGCTGCAGCCTAAAGGAGAAAGTCCTGGCCCCCTTGAACTTCACGGAAATCTTGGCTCTAACTGCAGAGCCTCAGTCTCTTCTCCCAAGAATCTGACTCCTCCATATACATTCCTTGTCTCTTCCAGACAGAGAACAGCAAGCCAGGCACAGAAGTCTCCAGCCTGATGCAGCTCAGCCAAAGGGGCCTCAGTGTGGTAGTGGGCTCCAGTGTAGCAGGACCTTTACATTGGGGGCAGGGCAACCAAGTTGTGGGCAAAGATCAGGGAGGGGTTGGTAGACAATGTGGCGAGTGGGCATGTTCCTGGGTAGAAAGATCCTTTCCATATCCATGTCATCTCCAGGCCAGAAGACTACAGTGGCCATAGTTCCCAATGCCTGGCCTGGCAGACTCCAGATCTCATCACACAAAGGGCTCTGCTGGGAGTAGTGCTGGTGGAAGGCAGTTCCCACATTCCTGCACTTGCTTCTGCATGAACTCTGTCCCTCACCTCCCTGACCAGCAGTTTTATCAGAGGCTGAGAGCCACCAAGGAAGTTGTAAGGGAATATTTTGTCATTGACATATTCACTCTGGGCTTGCAGCAGCATCAGCTACTGCTAGTTGGAGCATCCCTTCTCTTCCTAGGTGGGAAGAGGCTGCTGGGGATCCTGCTGGAAGTCAGGGCTTTCCCTCCAGACTCCTACCCTAACACCTGGGGTCGCGGGGATATGGACAAGGTCATTCCCTAAATTTCCTGCCTGTGACATGAAGGCAAGGGTGGACTTAACACTAAGCACCCAAGTCTATGGGCTGCTCTCACCGTGGACAATTACCTAACGCCCACCAATTCTCCAGAGCAGTTATCTACATCCGTTAATTTCTTTTACAGCAGCCTCATTTAGAATATGGCCTTGGTAGTCCTGTCCCAGCCCCTTGGGCATCACCCCCCAAAAAAGTCCCCTCGATGGGAGGCATTTTTGGATATAGGACCATCCCAGAGGGAAACAGGAGTGGAAAGCAGCTGAGAGGTTTCCTCCTGGCAGCCTAAGAGCCCTTGGTAGAGTCCAACATCTCCCTTCATCAAGAACAGTTTTCTTATACCCATCATGTTCAGGGCAGTGTCTGGAAGGGACAGGAGATGGGAAACAAGGGCAAGCTGTGCTAAAACAAAATCCAAGACATTGGGGATACACCCCACACCATGGCTCAACCTTCCCAGTATCTTCTCTCCTTCTATATGGATGCTCTGGATGCCCCCCACTGTCTCCCCATGCTCTTCCTGTGTAAGCTCCAACTTGCCTCATATTGTCTTTGCCACTACACAGGCACACATAGGTGTACACACACATAGGTGTACTCTCTCTCTCTCTCTCTCTCTCCATGCCCAAAGGAGAGGCACCAAGTAGAGTCAGCAGCAGAAAGGAAAGAAAGACCCTGAAGTCTACACAGGGCACAGATGTGGGTACTAGTGTGAGATACCAGCACTTTGGATGGCAAAGAGGGAGAAGTTTAAAAATTGGCTCCAGGCTTTCCTCAGAGGCAACTTGATGAAGTTTACTCCCACCAAACTGGGCCCTTTCATAGGCCATACTGGCCTTCAGTATCCTTCTACTATGTTCAGCATAAGCCCTGAAGATCATGTTCCAGCACTCAATTGCAGGCCCAGGAGGAAACCCTGGTTCCAAGGTCAAAGCCAACATAGCCTCCACCAGGCAGGCCTCCTTCTGATCCCAGACTCCTCCAAACACCAGGCTGTGGAGGGAAACACTGCCTGGCCTGCCAAATCTCTGGGCTGGGGAAGAGCTGCCTGGCTGTAGCGACTCTCAGGGCTTCCTCGTGTCTTCAGGGGTCTCTGAATGTGGAAGATGAGGGGAAAGGAGTATGTGGAAGCACTTGGAACATGGAATCCAGCCCTGGGCATGGTTACTCTCACCCTACCCCAAACATTCACACTGGCCTGATGTCAGAGCAGCCTAGGAAAATATTGACAACACCTGTACCTTGCACCTCCATCAACACCTTTCAGGTGAAAGTCTCCAGTGTCTGCCCAGTATAAACACATACCATAGCAGCTCAGTCTTCATGCTTGCTTTCTCCCTGATCTCACTGAGCTGGTGATAAGAAACAGACACAGGTGCTCCCTTCTAGATGCTGCCTCCCCCACCCACCCCAGTCCTCCAGCCCCTCAGGGGGGCGGTGGCAGTTTCAAGTCCAGCAGAGTGTAGGCAAAGATGTTCCAGAAGACAGCGAACAGCACAAAGATGGTGTACATGGCCACAAAAATCCACCACAGTGACTGGTCTTGCAGCCTTTGCTCATAGTTCCTCAGGACCACCACGCCCAGAGTGATGCCCACAGCCACGCCACCCAAGTGTGCCACAAAGCTAGGGTGAGGGCATGGGGGATAAGCCGATGGGTGGAAGCGGAGCCACACAGCCCGTCCAAACTCCATACTCACTGAAAGGAGAGGAAGTGTAGAGAAATCACAGGAAGGCTTGAGACAGGGGCTGGGGAGGGGACCACACTCTGGCCATTCTACCCCCACCCTCCTAAATTAATTCACTTTCATGAGGCCAAGTGCCACACATGCACTGGAAGAATGGCAATCAAAGGGACAAACTGTTCTAGAACTGGCTTTAAACCAGTAAATGATGACTTATATGAGATGATTTCTACAGATACAGGGGAGATGGGTGCTGTAAATCAATTCTGGTATAAGGAGGGGGATGCTTCACAGAGTAATTAGAACAACTCTACCCCCCTTACTCAAGACGTAAGATTTGAGTTTATCAAGAGAAAACCTTGAGAGGGCACTTTTTTTTTTTTGGTGGTGGAGGAGGGTTGGTCTTGGGATTTGAACTCAGGGCTGGGCTCTGTTCCTGAGCTTTTTTTTTGCTAAAGGCTAGTACTCTACCACTTTGAGCCACAGTACCACTTCCAATTTTAGGGTAGTCCATTGGAGATAAGAGTCTTGCCACCTTTCCTGCCTAGGCTGGCTTTTTACTGTGATCCTCAGACTTCAGCCTCCTGAGTTGCTAGGATTACAGGCAATAGGCATGACCCACAAGTGCCTGGTGAGAAGGGCATTTTTTTTCTGTTGGTTGTGGGGCTTGAACTCTGGGCCTGGGCACTGTCCCTGAGCTCTTCAGCAAAAGGCGAGCGCTCTACCACTTAAGCCACAGAGCCACTTCTGGTTTTCTGGTGGCTATGGGAGATCAGAGTCCCATGGACTTTCCTGCCTGGGCTGGCTTTGAACTGTGATCCTCATCTCAGACCCCTAAGTAGCCAGGATTACAGCCATGAGCTACCGATACCCAGCTTGTTTTTTGCTTTTGTCAGTTGTGGGTCTTAAGACTCTGAGGAGAAGGGCCTTCTTGATAGAGGGCACAGCTCTGCCCAAAGGCCTTTTGTACCTCTATGGCCAAATTGAATCATGGGGACTCAAGTTTCCTCATCTGTCCATTGATATAAAGTCTCAGCCTCAATGTGGCAGACTGCACTAGTCAAACATAATTCACAACTGTCCAGCACATGGCATCTATAAATTGTTTCCATGTATTATCTCAGAAACCCTGAGATCAGTGCTTCTGTCCTTGGGAGAGAGGGGTGAAGGGCTACAAGGGTCAAAGCAAAATAGAAACCAACTGACTCTAGCCTCAGCCCAACAAAATTGTGGAATTTCTCTTTTATTCAACTCTAAGATACTGTCAACTTTTTTGTGTGTGTTTTTGTACCAATACAGGGGGAGTTTGAACTCAGGGCCTGATCTCTCAATCTCACTCAGCTTACCTGCTTGGCTGGAGCTCTACTACTTGAGCCATGGTTCTAGCATGCATTTTTGCTAGTTAATTAGAGATATAGTCTTACAAGCTTTTCTGCCCAGGCTTTCTTTGAACCATGATCCTCAGATCTAGCTTCCTGAGTAGCTAGGATTATAAGCATGAGTTGCCAGTACCCAGGAAATTATTTTTTTCTTTTCTTTCCTCTTTTTTTTTGGTAACTAGGGTTTGAATTCAGAACCTACTGAGCTACACCTTAAAGCTTTCTGTGAACTTTTTTTTTTTTTTTTTGGTCAGTCGTGGGGCTTGAACTCTGGGCCTGGGTGCTGTCCCTCAGTTCTTCAGCTCAAGGTGAGCGCTCTACCACTTGAGCTACAGCTCCACTTCCGGTTTTCTGGTGGTTTATTGGAGATAGGAGTCTCACGGTCTTTCCTGCCCGGGCTGGCTTTGAACCTCGATCCTCAGATCTCAGCCTCCTGAGTAGCTAGGATTACAGGCGTGAGCCACCAGCGCCCAGCTTTCTGTGAATTTTTTAGGGTCAGTCAACAAAATAAGGATGAAGGTGGTTCCTTGAGAGAATGAGTATTCATTCCCCATTCCCTAGGGAGCACTGACAGTAGCTATACTTACCCCATTTCACATACAAGGAAACCAAAGCAAAATTGCTAGATTGCAATAAAGCCCTTTGAGGGAATGCTGTAACCCTTAATTCACCAGAACTTCTCCACACTAACCTCACAAGGAGCCCAGAATTCCCAGGGACCTTATTTTCCTTGGGGCAGAGAGGTATCTTCCACTTCCACTTTAACTGCAGGATGGCCAATAGTCAGTGAAAAAGGAGTAGTTCTCCAACCCCAGTTCAGACTTCTCAGTAGGTCCAGGGTCAATAAAGGAAGTATAAAAGATAATGGTTCCCAACACCAAACCAGAATTTTAGTCTTCATGATACTTAAGAGTTAGCTTTTATAAATAATGAGACACATACTTCTCCTTCCTTCCAGGAAATCAGAAAAAAACCAGAGTCTGAGCTGGGCATTGGTGGCTCACACCTGTAATCCTACTCAGGAGGCTGTGATCTGAGGATCATGGTTCAAAGCCAGGCCAGACAATAAAGTCTGTGAGACTCTTACCTCCAATTAACCACCAGAAAACCAGAAGTGGCACTGCAGCTCAGAGTAGAGTGCTAGCCTAGAGCAAAAGAAGCTCAGGGACAGCGCTACGCCCTGAGTTCAAGGCCCATGACTGACAAAAAAGTAAAAAAATAAAAAGAAGAGTCTGAACAGACAGACATGGAAGTGCTACTCACTCCCACCTCCTTCTCTGTCCCCTCCTTTCCCCTGCTGTCCTGGCTCAAGAGTCCCTAGGTTTTAAGGCTGGGAAAGCTTCGCTGTTACTAGAGAAACATCTAGAAAACATATCCAGAGTGCTCCACAGTGGATCAGGGACAGAGCTGGTTAGTTTCCCTGAAAGCTATGGGCTGAGAGACAAGGAATATTCAGGAAAAAGTTGATCCCTCACAGAACTGGACCTCCATCTGCCAGACTTCGTCTTATTCACAAAGCAAGTGGCTTACCCAGGCTGGTTCTAAATTCTGTCTTCATTTCCTTTTAACTGAATGACCTTCAACAAAGAACTTAACGCTTTGACCCTGCAATTCCCTTCTTGCAAATTGAGATAATGATACCCTATTTCACAGGCATGTTTTGAAGACTAAAGAAGAGGATGTGTTCTCTTTTCTCTTTTCTTTTCCTACCTCGGATGCTCTGTCAGACTTATCTCTTACCTTTCCAAAATGAGCCCTGTGGCCTCTTGTCTCATCTCTACTCCTCACACCTCCAGTCCTTTTTTTTTTTGGAGGGGGGTTGGGGGGGAGTCAGTCGTGGGGCTTGAACTCTGGGCCTGGGCACTGTCCCTTAGCTCTTCAGCTCAAGGACAGAGCTCTACACTTGAGCCACAGTGCCACTTCCGGTTTTCTGGTGGTTAGCTGGAGATAAGAGTTTCACAGACTTTCCTGCCCGGGCTGGCTTTGAGCCATGATCCTCAGATCTCAGCCTCCTGAGTAGCTAGGATTACAGGCATGAGCCACCAGTGCCCAGCTATAATTTATTTTTAAGATAGGATCTTGCTAGCTAACTTTATCCAGGCTGAACTCAAATACATACTCCACCCTTGTCTCTCCAATAGCTGGGATTACAAGCACATACCACTATGTTGTTTATCTCTCATTACAGCTAAACACAGTCCCAAGCTCCACTTGTCAGTTTTACTAGTCCTCTTGCTGGCCATGCCCACTCACGTACCTTTACTCCTGCTGCACCTTTACCCAACATGCCCTCTTGTACCTCATCTGCCTATTCAACATCTGGCTGTCTTTCACATTCAAACAATCTCTGTAACTAGAACCTCTCCATCCAACCTCCCCTTCATACCCTGTTTGTAGGATTCACGGATTAGAGTTTATAAATCTGCTAAACTCTATTTTTATTTTTTATTTTTTGCCCTAACCAGGATTTGACCTGAGAAACTCACGCTTGCTGGACTGGCACTCTACCACTTGAGCAACATCTCCAAGTTGGCATTTTGCTGGTTAATTGGAGATAAAATCTCCAGGGCTTTCCTGCTCAGCTAGCTTTGAACTATGATTCTCAGATCCCAGCCTCCTGAGTAGCTAGGATTATAGGTATGAGCCATAAGTACCTGGCAAAAATGTGTGCATGCAGGTATACACATGTACCATACAATATGTACATATTCTGAAGAGATTCCTGAGTTCCGTGAGAGAATCTCAAAAGTATCACCTCTATGACCCAAAAAGTCATGAAGTTGTTTTCCTTGATATTGATGCTGGTGAATGCATAGTTTATGTCCATAACAAGATTAAGAAAGGGCTGGGAAAGTGGCTCTGTGGTAGAGTGCTTGACTTGCATGCATGAAGCCCTGGGTTCGATAAGCAGAAAAGGCTGGAAGTGGCACAGTGGCTCAAGTTGTAGAATGCTAGCCTTGAGGTGAGGAGCTCAGGGGCAGCTCCCAGGCCCAGAGTTCAGGTCCCATGACTAACCAAAAAAAAAAAAAAAAAAAGCTCCAAGAAATGAGCTGAGAAGGTGACTCAGTAGTAGAGTGCTTGCCTTGCGTGCATGAGGCCCTGGGTTCAATTCCTCAGCACCACATAAGCAGAAAAAGCCAAAAGTGGCATTGTGGCTCAAGCTGAAGAGCTGAGGAACAGCGCCCAGGCCTAGAGTTCAAGCCCCAGAACAAAAAATGAATAAATAAATAAACAAACAAATAAATAAAAGATTAAGGCTTAGCAACAGTGTGCAGGGATGGCTTTACTCAGAGCATCCCTCCTTGTCACCTATCACTAACATGCCTCTCGGCCTTTTCTTGACCACAAGCCCCTGAAAGACAAGTGCAGTGGCATCTCTGTAACCCTAGGACCTGGAGGCAGGATTTTCCCCAGCCTGCTGTCTTATACTTACTACAGATCAAGGCCACAGCCATCTGAAGCAGCTTGAACTGGCACTTCATACCTGACCAGTTCTAGAGAAAAAAGAAGAGAAGACTGTTAGTTCCAGATCAGGCTGATCCTCTGCATGTGTGTCCTTCTTACCAACACCTGACATTTAAAGAAATCACCTCCATGAAGTCCTGAATGAGAGTGTTGGGGCTTAGTAAGTGGAACATGACTCAAAGCATGACTGAGATCTGAGGCCATGTTAAGTGTAGCCCAGTCACGAGCTTGAGCTGCACTAACAGCGTCAGACAGTCTAGATCTAGGGAGATGAGAGAATGTCTGTCTTCCTCTCTGAACTACCTGAAAGTTGAATTAAAGGTTGTATCCTTCAGGTAACAGGGCACGTAGAACAGCACACTAAGCAAAGTCAAATCAGAACCATTAGGGTGATTAAAAACAAAACAAAACAAACCCCTCAAAATCCAGCTGCTCAAACACCTGTAATTAATCCTAGCTACTCAGGAAGCTGAGATCTGATAGAAAACTCTGAACTTCCAAGGCAGATAAATAAAAGTACGATTATTTGCCTAACATAAGGATTCTAAACTTCACAAGAGAGTCCATCCCAGGACTTGTTGAGGAGAACCCTTGTGGTATATTCCATGCTGGGTGCCTGTAATCCTTACTATTCAGGAAGTTGAAATCTAATGTTCAAACACCAAAATGCCAGACATAGCGCTTTGGCTCAAGTGGGAGAGCACTAGACTTGAGGATAAAAGCTCAGGGACAGTACCCAAGCCTTGAGTTCAAGCCCCAGGACCTATACAATAAATAAATAATCCATTATTCCACTTATAAAGACGCAGGAACACACTCAGAGCCTGGGACCTTCTTGGAACATATCAGCTTCAAGGAAACAAACTACTAGGCACAGCCCAGGGACAACTATTTCTTCCCACCCACCCAATCTGCCCTTGCTGGCTGCCCCTGGCACTGCTCCAGAGCACAGCTCACTCTCCTTTGAGGTTGCAGCAACACACACAGAACTTCACAGAGGCTAGGGTGACTTCAATCCTGTTACAGAGGTATCAATGGAGCAAGCAAGGCATGGGAAGTTTCCAAACAGGGAGGAATCCTTCTTGCCTACTTCCTCTTCTTCCCTCATTTTACAATGACCGACAAGCCCGTCTTGACAAAAGGTGAAGTGGGTAATGGGCAGTCCAATCTTTGCTTGCTGACGTGTTGGGTGTTAGAAAGCAGATGGCTGGATAATGCTGTCCTGGCTGGTGTCTGTCCACAGGGGAACCTCGCCAAGAGGCAGGGAAGAAAATGGAGCCTATGCCTCCCTTGGATCCAGCAACCAGACAGAAGGGTGCTAGAGGAACCTGGGCAATCCCTGATGAGCCACCACTTCCCAAAAGGGATACTAGATGCCAAGTGGCCTGCAAGATGCCCCTGTGGTCCCTGTGAGGGCCTGGGGAGAAGGCTAGGAAGGGCTCTTGTGACTGGAAAGTACTTCCTGATATTGTTATTCAAGCTGAGCCTTCTTGTACTTCCAGGGTCTTCCCCCCCTCAACCCCTTATTTGAGATGGTATCTCTCTTGTGTTGTTAAAGCTTTCTTGCCTCAGCCTCCAGTGTAGCTGGGACAAGGAAGGGGGAGGGAGGGAAGGGAAGGGAAAAGGAGGCAAGAAAGACAGTAGAATGGTACCTGAGCTTCAGTAACTCAAGCCTGTAAGCTGAGCTACACTGGAAGCTTAGAGGGACTGGGAAGGTGGCTCAGTGGTAGAGTGCTGGCCTTGCATGCATGAGGCCCTGGGTTTGATCTCTCAGCACCACATAAGCAGAAAAATCTGGAAGTGGCACTGTGGCTCAAGTGGTAGAACACTAGACTTTTTTGGGGGGGGGTCCAGTCCTGGGGCCTGAACTCTGGGCCTGGGCACTGTCCCTCAGCTATTCAGCTCAAGGCTAGTGCTCTACCACTTAAGCCACTTCCGGCTTTTTTCTTTTTTCTTATGTGGTACTGAGGAATCGAACCCAGGGCCTCAGACATGCAAGGCAAGTGCTCTACCACTGAGCCACTTTCCCAGCCCTAGAGCGCTAGCCTTGAGTTGAGGGACAGCACCCAGGCCCAGAGTTCAGACCCAATGACCGGGAAAAAAAAAAGAGAGAGAGAAAGAAAAAAGGAGGCTGAGAAGCCGGGAGCTGGTGGCTCACGCCTGTAATCCTAGCTACTCAGGAGGCTGAGATCTGAGGATCGTGGTTCAAAGCCAGCCCGGGCAGGAGAGACCATGAGACTCCTATCTCCAATAAACCACCAGAAAACTGGAAGTGGCGCTGTAGCTCAAGTGGTAGAGCGCTCGCCTCAAGCTGAAGAGCTGAGGGACAGCACCCAGGCCCAGAGTTCAAGCCCCACGACCAACAAAAAAACAAAAAAGAAAAAAGGAGGCGGAGATAAGAGGATGGAGGTTCAAACCCAGTCTGGACAGTAAAGTCCATGACTCTTATCTCCCAGTAAACATTCAAAAAGCCAGGAAAGTGGGGCTGTGGCTCAAGTGGTAGGGCCCACCAGCCTTCGGTGAAAATACTTAGGGACAGCGCCCAATCCCTGAGTTCAAACCCGAAGACTGGCACAAAAAAAGGGAAAAAAAAGTAGAATGGTGTTTGTTAGGGGTTGGAGGAGGAGGTATGGGGAGTTGGCATTAATAGGTATAGAATTTCAGCCTGGGAGGATGAAGTTTTAGAGAGTCATTTGACTAGTAAGTATGCCCTGGATGTGATCCCAGCATTACAGAAATAAAACTGTCCCTTAGCTTTTTTTTTTTTGGGGGGGGTCCAGTTGTGGGGCCTGAACTCTGGGCCTGGGCGCTGTCCCTCAGCTCTTCAGTTCAAGGCTAGGGCTCTACCACTTGAGCCACAGCGCCACTTCCGGCTTTTTTTTTTTTTTTTTTTTGCTGAGGAATCGAACCCAGGGCCTCAGGCATGCGGGGCAAGCGCTCTACCACTGAGCCACCTTCCCAGCCCTTAGCTTTTTTTGATCAAGGCTGTCACTCTATCACTTGAGCCACAGCTCCATTTTCTGTTTTTCAGTGATTAAATGGAAATAAGAGTCTCATGGATTGTCCTGCCTGGGCTGATTTTGAACCAGAATCCTCAATTCTCAGTTTCCTTAATAGCTAGATTACAGGTGTGAAACACTGGTAATTTTTTTTTTTTTTGGTGTGGTCTTGGGACTTGAACTCAGGGCCTGGGTGTTGTCCCTAAGCTTTTCCACTCAAGGCTGGTGCTTTACCACTTGAACCACAGCCCCACTTTTAGCTTTTTGAGTGTTTATTGGGGATAAGCATCTCATGGACTTTCCTGCCTTGGCTGGCTTTGAATTGCAGTCCTCAGATCTCAGCTACCTACATACCTAAGATTATAGGTGTTAGACACTGATGCCCAGGCAAGGTAATTTTTTTTTTATTGTGAAAATACTGTACAGAGGAGTTACAATTACATGGGCAAGATAATGAGTACATTTCTTTTCAAGCATTGTAGCCTCCTCCTTTGTTTCCCCTTTGGTATTTACTTTTGAACTAAGGGCCTAGTGCTTGCTAATTAGGCATGCTACCTACCACTTAAGCCACTCCCCATTTTTAGTTTTAACTGTTTTTCAGGTCGGGAGGGTCTTATTATTTTATTATTATTATTTTTTTTTTTGTCGGTCATGGGGCTTGAACTCTGGGCCTGGGCCCTGTCCCTCAGTTCTTCAGCTCAAGGCCAGTGCTCTACCACTTGAGCCACAGTACCACTTTCGGTTTTCTAGTGGTTTATTGGAGATAAGAGTCTCATGGACTTTCCTGCCTGGGCTGACTTTGAACCGCAATCCTCAGGTCTCAGCCTCCTGAGTGGCTAGGATTACAGGCGTGAGCCACGGGCACCCAGCAGGTCTTATGTTTTTGCTTGTGCTGGTCTCGGACATTAATCCTTCTACCTATATAGCCTTCCAAGTTGCTGGGATGACAGGTGCACACTTCCACTTCAGGCCTGTTCACTGGGAGAGGTCTTGCCAGGACCCTACCAATCTCGACCTGCAGAGTAGCTAGATTACAGGAGTAAGCCATTATACCCAGCTTAAGATGGTAAATCTTAGGTTATATACACTTATACAATTACAAACATAAGTGATATTAACATCTTTTTTTTTTTTTTTTGGTTAGTCATGAAGCGTGAACTCTGGGCATTGGCATTGTCCCAAGCTTTTGTGCTCAAGGCTAACAATCTACCATTTTGAGTCACAACACCACTTCAGTTGGTGATAAGAATCTCATGGACTTGGGCTGGGAAGGTGGCTCAGTGGTAGAGCGCTTGCCTTGCATGCATGAGGCCCTGGGTTCGATTCCTCAGCACCAGGTAAGCAAAAAGAAAAAAGCCGGAAGTAGCACTGTGGCTCAAGTGGTAGAGCGCTAGCCTTGAGCTGAAGAGCTGAGGGACAGCGCCCAGGCCCAGAGCTCAGGTCCCATGACTGGACCAGAAAAAAAAGAGAATCTTATGGACTTTCCTGCCCCAGCTGGCTTTGAACCATAATCCTCAGATCTCAGCCTCCTGAGGAGCTAGGATTACAGGTGTGCGCCACCAGCACCCAGTTCTAATACCAATTCTAATATCCCTTTTCCTTATAAACTCTGCAAATACCTCAAGTGAAAGCAGTATCACCTTCTATGCCCTGAGCACTGTATCCTAAGTCACTGTAAAGCAAGGTAAGTAAGAATGAGACAGCTGCTACCCCCTAGCTTGGGGTCCTCTTGCCTCTGTGCAGAGATTTTAAGATTGATTTGGAAACAATCTTAAGAAACCCCATTCATACTTTTGGCTTGGCATAGCCGTCAGTGGGATGGCTCAGCACTCCTTTTTTTTTCTAGTGTCCTCATGTAAGTATTTGAGATAATAGTACCTATGTCAGTCACCTATCTTATCAGGCATTCTGAGGGTGAAATGAATATTTATAATATGTATGAAGTATCAGATCCTGGAACATCAGTCATATAAGGGTTTAATAGTACTATCTAGACCAGGAGCAAAGATGATGGGTTCACTCTATAGAAT